TGCAGCTTTTGATGGGGGCTTTACTGTCAGCACCAGACCTGGTCTCTTAAATAGCAAATTGTAGGCCCAAGTCCCAGCTTTTCAGAATTTCAGGTTATGAAGTGCCAAAAGGTACTGAAAAGTTTTTTGTTCATGCCGGTAGAGGTAAGCAAAGTGTCCCTAATTCGTGAACATGATCACAGCAGTAACAAATCTCACTCAAGTGGTGGCTGGTGTTGATTACAGAAATGCTAATTTAATAAAGTGATTGATAAAAATTGAATTCCTGTCTTCAGTGGAATCATTACTGTCTCAATAGATATAGTGCCCATCAGTGCCCAGAACAGAAGCATCAGTATTAGCTGTGAGCTTGTTAGAAATGTGACTTCTCAAGACCCACCAGCAGACGTGAATCAGACTTGGGGGAGAGCCAGGAAATCCGCTTTAGTCAGCCCTCCGGGTGATTCTGATGGGTGGTCCGAGTCAGGAACCGTTGGGGTAGACCATTACCTTAGCAGAGTCACCTGGAGACGTTACTGGATCCTGAGAACAGTAACATAGCAGGGGCACGGGACGAAGATGAAAATAACACCAACCATTAGTGTTTGTGGAAAATAAGGTATTCAAGTGAGGTGAAACCTGGGATGAGGTCTGCACACCCCAGTACGGGCTGCTGCTTAGCTGGAGTAGCAATCAAAACATGAGGACTTGGATCAGGCAGAGCGGCTCACGTCAGCACACGTTAGCTTAAAAAAAAGTCTGCTCCTCAGAGGCAGTGGTCTATCCTGGGATGGTCCCCACGCTTGGGTACCGGACTCCCGTCAGTTCCCCTTTATTCCCCGTCCACCTGTGCCAGTCCCCAGATCCGGTAGACTCCCTGCTCTCTTCTCCTCCTCTGACTTACTTAATCCAGGCTCCGGGAGAACTACAAAGTCAGGCTCTTCTGCTTACTTAGTTTTCCTTACCTAGAGAACGGAACAGTAGCACTGAAGTCAGTGTCACTGAAGACGAGTAACAGCGAAACAGGACAGTAAAATACTACTATACAATCTTTTATTACAAAATGTTAGAAGAGGCAGAAATACTTCGGAATGTCTTGGATGAGCATGGGATCCACAAGTTACCCAAATACCTGCTAGTAAAATATGAACATGTTTTGGAATTACAAATCCCGATCTAGGACTCCAGATAAGGGGCTTGTTTTGGCCAGTGGGAGAACAAGCATCAGGACATTTAAAAACATTTCACTGACTATCTCTCACTGTTAACGATTTTATCACTTCTATCATCTTTACAGGGAAGGAAAAGAAATGTTTTCAGCAAGCTAATCATACCAGAATTGCAGTGCCTCCTTAAACACCAGAAATAGCAACAGAATGCACTAAAACGTGGGACTCCAGCATGCCTGGGAGCAACAGCATCTTCTGTGCCCTCAGGCTTCGGCCCGCAGCCCTTTCTGAAGGAGCCCACAGGGAGCCCTGGGTGTGTGGGGAAACATGCATAGGAGGAACTTCATTTCTCTGGCACTGGTTTTGGTTTTTTATTGTGACAAGAGAGCAGAATTTACCATTACTGGCCAGTATTGTGTATAAATCAGGGACATTAATTACATTCACAGTGGTGTATAACCATCACCTCTCTCTCCAAAGCTTTCTTAAACTGTTACCACTAAACAGGAACTCCACCTTCTTCTACCCATCTCCCTGGAACTGTTCTGTCTCTACCCATTTGCCTGTTCCAGCTGCTTCATGTAAGTTTTTGTGTGTGACCTACCTCAGCTTAGCATGTTGTCAGGGGTTAGCCATGCTGACCACATGCATCAGAATCCTGTGTCCATGTGTGCGCCATGCCCCATCTTCTCAGTTCACCCGAGGGGATCTGGTTGAGAGCCTCTCAGCTGTTGGGAAGAGTTCTGTAAACATGCATGTACGATGGTCCCTGTCCCTGCTTCTCAGTTCTGGGCATATACCCAGAAGCAGAGCTGCTGTACTTAGGATGAATTTGTGCTTAACTTTGTGAGGAACCACCAAACTTTTCCTCCACAGTGTTTGCTGTACCATTTGCCATTCCCACCAGCAATTCACCAAGACCCCACTTTCTCCACTCTGCCACTACTTTTCCTTTTTGGTAATAGCCATCCTCATGGTAAGTTAAGTAGTAGCTCTTGATTCTGATTTGCATTTCCCTAATAACTAGTGGTGAATATCTTTTCCCAGCATTGTTTAAAGTGTTATCCAAATACCCTTTATATCAGAGTCAGCTGGGGTTCTTTATTGAAAATGTTATCTCAGAAATTGTTAAGTAGAACTAGAGGTGAAGCCTTGGGACGTATTTAACCAGTACTCCACATGCCTTTTATCTATGAGCTTTAAAAACTCAAGTATTAAAACTAAATAAAGCTTTAAGTGTCTTGGTAATTAAGAAATTCTATATTGTGTGCTTAAAACATACATGTTGTTTACTGGACTCCGCCTCCTTTGTTTGAACCTTACCGATAACCGTGTCAGGGGCAGAGGTCTTTAGTGTTTTTGATTATAGTGAAAAATGCCATCTTAGTGATTGATCATAAAATATTCAACATCAACTTATAAATCTGTGATTGTAAAAATGGTCTCCTGGTTATATGAGTGGTATTTAAAGGCTACTAAACAGACGTGATTGTTTTTTTTTTAATGGGGGATGGAGGGAGCAAAAAAAGTGTATGTACTGAGCAGAACAGAACGATTTCCTTCTTTCCTCTTCTTGACATGGTCAAGACTTGCATTTTGCTCATAGCACAGATTCTCTTCATAAGAGTGGGAATGCAAATGGTTTCATTTCCAGTGCCATCTCTGGCAGTGGCTGCTTGAAATGCAGAGGATTTGGATTCCCATCTTTGGACCAGTGACTAGGGCGTCTACCACCAGGACCTCCCTATACAAGGTGAGTGCCATTCACATTGTGAGGTAATCAAGTGCTGAGAGTAGAGCAGGCTGACTTCTATTTTCCAATTAGAACCACTGAAAGGAGGCAAACTTTCCTGTAACAAATTCCAGGGATGGGGGTTGGCAGGGGAGCACTACGATTTTTGGTGAACCAAAGTTATCTATAGCCTCTCCCATACATGTAGTTTGCAGAAATATATGCATTTTTAAAAATTAAGCAATATTACAGTAAAAAATCACTTAGATCAAAACAAAAACCTGTTCTCCATCAACATATTAAACTGGCCAGTGATTCAACAGGACAAATTCAAGTTTAAGAAGATAAATGCGAAAGACCAAATTTAAAGAGTATCACCTACCCAACCCCTACATAATTCCCTGAAGAAAATACCAAGACACCAAAAAACAAGACAGGGCATTAACAGGAGAAAGTAGAATATTGATTGTAACAAGGATGATTTAAGATCTCAAGTGAACCAAGAAATGTGGCTATAGATCTCATCATCCCTACAGACCAAGAATACAAAAAGGACTTAAGATATAGTTAACAAAGATGAACTTATTAAATGTCAAACACAAAATTTACTATCTTAATTTGCACAAATTAGCAAAACATGAGGTTACAATGAAAGGGAAAATCCTTCACACCACTACTCTACGTGTCCACTGGAACCTCTCCAGAAAGCAGATAAAAGTATCAAAACCTTAAAAAAAATAAAAATCCCAAGAATATAATGAGAAACGTTCATAGGTTATAAATAGCCAGAAAAGATTTACATGGACAATCTGGACACAGTGGTATCTAACATCAGGAAAACTGGCTAAAATTCTAGTCAATCCTCATCACTAAGTTTTCCCAAAACCATGTTTCTCCAAGATTATTAAAGTTACATGTGAGGGCATGGGGCAGGGGGTGGGGGCGGTTCACAAAATTCCATGATTTCAAGATAAATGTGTAAACAGAAGTAAATACACAAAGGACTCGAAAAATAAAAATGTTCCCATTCATCTCTGAATGGACAGAGTTCCAGAGATCTTATGTGTGCTCTTTTTTAACTTCCAGACCCTATACTGAGCATATACTACTATCATAAGCCAAGAAACGCTTTAAATATTGTAAAAACAAAATGATGTACCTCTACAGAAGTATTCAATACATCAAATGTAGGGGGAAAACTGCTCTTCTAAACACACATGCTAACAGGAAGAGACCAAAATATACATTTGTGGTTGATGTATTCCCTTTCACCACAAAAATGGCTACACGAGCATATGATAACCAATTCAAAAATAATGGTTAGGTAGGGAAAGAGACTACACAAATCTTCACTGTGAAAATGGTTAACGGAAGTAAATTGTTATCCAGAACTGCTGGTAGGATCAGGGGGTAGTCCAAATTAATTTTAACTGACTTTCTAGTAAGTTTAGTGTACCCATAAAAGACACACAAAATAAAATGATCTTTGGTCATTCAGAAGGCAATTTCAGAATCTTGTTAGGGCCTCAGTGTAATTAGCAACGGTTATCAGTATGGTGCTAGTTAAAAGCTTAATAGCAGCTAACATTTGTTGGGTGCTTATTACTGCAAAGCACTGTTCTAGTTAACTTACTGGTTTCCCATCTAACCCCTTGGGGAGCTACCATAATTGACCCCATTTTACACATTAGGAAACAGGGGCCCAAGGTCCCATACCTGGGAAGTGGGCTAGAGCTACAACTGGCACATAGGTCACTTGGAAGGCTGCTTTAAGGCCCAGGCTCATCACCATTAGGCTATGAAATACTAACTCTTACTGTTGGTTTTGGGTTTTTTTTGCTTTTTTTTTTTTAAATAGGAAGAAAAGAGATCAGCATTTTAACTTAAATTAGTCTCCTACCAGAATTGTGAGGATAAAAATGTCAGCAAGGGAGAAGAAATCAAGACTCCGTATAACCAGAGACCATATACTCATTCTTTGTTTAGAATAAATCTATCACACTTCAAAATACAGCATACTGTTTTTGGTTATGAAACACAGAACTGAACAGGAAAATAACTTTGGATATTAAAAATCAAACAGAACTAAAGCAGACACATGAAAGTTTTTAATTTGCCAGATATTCTTTTAATGAGAATTATAAAAGACCAAAAACATTTTTTGCAAACTGCTTTTAAACAAATGATTTGCTTTTGATTACAAATACTGTGTAAGACGATGCCTTCTTCTGCAAAACCAATAAATACAAGAACAAATTTTAAACATGTGATTTGTCCAAGATATTTGGAGGGGAAAAAAAGCCTGATTTTTTTTTCCAGTATTAAAAAAAAAATCAGTATTCCCTAACCTTTCAAAGAATAAGTTCAAAGGTATGACTCAGCTGGAGAAAAGAGAGAGACAGAGACCATCTTACAACTGCTTTAAATAGCTTCTGATAATTCTGCTGTTACCTTTCCTTTCTGGAACTCCTATCTTCTCAAAAGAGTTGAATGTAAAATACTTCTAATGAACTGATTAATGGGGGAAAAGAAAATACGTACTGAACACATATGTATAAACTTTACCATAAACAATTATGCATATCAAAAAGACACTAACTTTAAAAAGATACAAAAAAAGTGAGGAAAAACCTGAATTACAGAAAAGAAAGTCAAATTTATTTAATGAAAAACTAGAATTAATAAAAATTAGCAAATACACACACAAAAAAATAGACACACACAGCAGCACTATGTATTGACTCACAAAGGGGAAAGCAGTGGCCCAAGACCACTCAACATGGCTTGTCGGTTAAAGGAGAAAAAAAAACAAAAACAAACCCCCCCCACACACACACATACACACACACACACGGGCGCACGGGTGCACGCACGCACACACACACACACCCCGCTCGCAGCACACACACACAACAAAAACCCAGTATTTTTCAACAGTACAGTCAATCTACAACACAAATTCCAAATTATTTTACAATGCTTCCTTTCTTAATACAAAAGATGCCCATCTTGGGTGTATATATATATTTTTTTCAGTGGTTTACTGCTGACTTATTTTTAAATATATTAGTGTTACTACATGCAACTGTTTCCTGTATTTAACAGCCTTTCCTTTTATTTACCTTCATGTGTCTAGCTTCCACCTACCAAAAGTTTCAGGTTGACAGGCAGATGGGTGCCTTATTCTCTGTGAAATTGAATGCAATGGTTTTAAACACTGGCCAGAAAATATTTGATTACCATTTCAACACATGGAAATAGTTACATTGATGCCTAAATTGCCATTTTCTGCAAAAAGCTGTGCAATGCTGGTGTCAAAGACTAGGCAGTCACTATTCATAATGGCTGTGGCAATTCCCTCATGAATAGAGCGTGGAGTCGCTTCCCAAGTCAATCGCCGCCTATGACCATTTAGCTCAAGTCGATAAGCAAAATTTTCAGCTTGCTTGCGTGTTCCTATCAGCTGTACAATTGCAAAGAACTGCTGGTGACCATCGTACTTTTCCTGTTTCTCCAAGACTAACATGAAGTGAAAGCCAAAACAGGACTGCATCATCACCCAGTCAACAGCACCAGGAAGATTAATGTCTGTAGCAAGGAAAACTATATCCTCTCCCTGTAGGGTCGTAATGGACTTATGCTGATGCATCAGATGGGGCATTACAGCATCCAGAGAGCCTTGCCATTTACAGGAAGCACCAGGGCACGGACACGAATAAGGCCTAAACTCACAGAGCTCTTCGTGGTCTGCTTTTTCTGTGTGTGGCAAAGTTATTTCACATCCAGAAGAGGCATATTTACACGGGAAAAGTACAGAATTGGCCACTTTCTCCATAGCCAAGTTGCGAATGGATCCCAGAGGGCCCCGGCAGGTTGGACAACATGTGAGCTTCGGGCGACAGTTGCTACAAACAAGATGGCCGCTCTGACACTGAAGAATGGGTGGTAACACATAGTCAAAGCAGACCGGACACTCAAAAAGACTCGCCAAGTCATTGTTGGATGCGGTTGTGCCAGTCAGGGCAGGCACCCTCTGGGACGGTGTACACTTCGAGGTTCCAGTAGGTAATGCTGTTGCAGTCTGGCGGCTCATTTCTGTAACCAAAACATAAACAAAAATAAAAGGAGGCAAGAGAAAAAGAATTACAACCATCACTTGTTTTATAAATAATGCTGACATGCCAGAAATACTTAAGTTTCATGCAAAATGTACTGTGAGCAAAAGACTAAAGGATTTAAAAAACCATAAATTACACAAATTATACATTTTGATTATAAGGAGTTGTACGCCAGATAAAATCTCTTTTATCAAAATGTCCCAGGACACATGTAGAACTCCCTTTCTTAAAAAAAATATTTAAAATCTGCTTGGATGAACTAGACAACATGCAATAAATGCTGAAACAGAAACCGGACCGTAAACAACTGAAGAAACTGTGTGTTAAGTAGCTTAAGTTCAATGAAATCCATTTTTACTGAACTTTCCCGTCCCCCTCTGAGTTCAATTCCCCTGCTCAATCTATTTCTATCCCATTCTGGGTCAGCTCCCAACAGTTACAGGGAGTCACAAGTAATCCAAAGGGTCAGCAAGACATTAGTTTGATTAACTCCCTGTAATGGTAAACAGAAATCTGCTTTAGATGTAGATTTAGGGAATGGGAGAAGGTCAACAGGGGAAGGGTTTGCTGCCATCCTATCATCCATTTTCATCCAGTAAGTCTTCTCCTAGAATATTAACATCAGCTATGCATCAATCTTATTTCCTACTGATCAGTAACCCCCACCTCAAAAGTGTGACAAAGAGAAGAGAAATGGAAGGCCATCTTCAAAAGTTCTTAGTCTGGCACTTAGAGAAAGTACATCTTTTACTCTACTTCCATTCCACAATACAAATCAGATATAAATTGCAATGGGAAAGAGCCAGAAAATAAGGTAACTAAAGATAAAAGCACCAGAGAGACACACACAACACTGGGGACAGTATAGTGAACAGGTTAAGAATTCCTTGTACCCTAGGGTTCACCAGTGTTGCTGAAGCATTCATCAGCACAGTAATAAATATTATTTAAGAGATAAATGTCACCTAGAAGAAATGACAAGGTAACTAACTTGTCAGGCTAAATGAAGATAAAGCAAACATCTTCCCCAGGAAACTACCTTTGCTAGGATATAACAGGCCATATTTGTCTCAGAGAAAACAAAACATCACTCTACTAATGTCCTAAGAGTGTACTCCCAATAACTATATAAGCCATATTTCTAACAATATTAAATATTAAAATTTAATACTTCAAATTTAATGGTTTCTCAATTATAATTGTTATTCTGTTGCAAAGAATGTGACTTTGAAAAAACAATGTGCCATATAAATGCAACTTGAGTTCCAGATTACTCGAAGACAGACTCCTCAAGTGAGGGTTGAAGCTGCACCCCCCTCCAAAAAAACAGATTACTTCCACTGTCAACTAAAGTTAGTATTCTACAATTCAGGAGTTCACAAAAGTACAGAATTCCATCATAATGTGGCTTACCACATGGACTTAGGGACAACAGGAATCAATTTTCATCATCTGAAATAATGTAAAACCCAGGTGTTGGGATTCTTGGTGCTGATGATCCTCACTTTCCATCACCTGGAAACAAAGGGCACAGCATTGCCAAAATGCCCCATGTCTATGCTGTATGCCTGTTTCATGGTCCATTTTATACCGTTCACTAAAAAGCAACATGAGAATTAGAAAGTGGTTCCCTGAGCACGAAACAGTCTAAACCACCAATGCCTTTTCAAATCACTAAACCAAAACAAGCTAATCACATTAAGGGGCAGTAAACTCAGTTTGTATTCAACATACTAGAACCAGGAAAATACAAGCAAGAAAAACACTGTCATTCCATTTCCTAACCTAACAAATAGCTGTACATTGATCATCAATCATGTTATGTTAAACATGTTTATGTAAACATGCTTATGTTAAAATATATCTTTATTTTTTTTCCAAAGACTGTAGAGAGCACAATTTAAATCCCTATCTAAAGACTGAAAATAAGTGAAATGAGGCCAGTATTTCTTGTGAATGGAGGTATTAGAGGACAGCAGCTACTAAAACCTCCCAAAGCTCCAAAGGTAGAACCCAGCTCCATTTTCAACCAAAAAGAACCCGAACCACACAACAGCCCTGCAGTAGGAACCAAGGATTCAAGTGTCTAGACAACCCTGCAGGAGTGATGACATAACCCGAAGCTTAAACAGAAAAGTACAGCAGATCAAAAACAAAAAAACAAAAACAAAAACAAAAAAAACCAGCGTCGCAAATTCAAGCTCAATTACATTGCAGCCACTCCCTGATCCAGATTCCACTGGCTTACAACAACTTTCCCGTTTCATAGTTTAAGCAACCCCGTCTTTTAATGTCAATACCTTTTCTCTTCCTTGTCCCAGCTGCTGGTAAACATGTGAGCAAGACACCCCTCCAAGAGTACAGAAAAGGTAAGGGAGACTTCCCGGTCATGAGAAGTCAGGTAGCTCATAGCCTTTCCCCCAGAAGCAAATACGATTTTTAACAGAGTCTCCTCCTGGACACCTTCTGTTCCTAATCATGTCCGAGTTCAAGTTTTCAAGACGCGAAGTTTTAAGTGTCCTGCCCTATAACACACTCCATTCACTCCGAGGCACCGGCTACCGCAGCAGCAGAGAAATGAAGGCTCTCCCGTCCCAACAGGAGTCGACCACACCTCCCTGCGAGCTCAAATTCGCCTGCGTTTCCAAAAATGGGTGCCATCACTGAGCTGTCCTCCGCTGGGCCCTAAACTGTCTGTCTTGGAAGTTTGTCTTCCCCACATTCGTTAGCTAGCCAGGTTGGGTGAAGGACGGGGCTGTAAGGTGCGAGGAGGCTGGAGTAAGAGATCCCTCGCAGCCAGCTCTGGAGCCACTACAGGGTCCGGCCTGCCAGGAGACACACGCGGAGACCACGGCTGGGGCCTGGCCGCTGCTGGGAAAGCCTACTCCAGCCCGCAGCGCCAGCCAGCCCCAGGCTCGCTGCACCAAGCCGCAGCAAACGTGGGGCGGGGCTGGCTGGGCGGGGTCCAAGGGGAGGGGCTGACGCCATGGGCACGCCCGCAAGCTCCGCCCTCCCAGCCCAGGCGGCTCCCCGGCACCACCGCACTGCGTGGCCGCAACTCCAACCCTACCCTAGACCCCCGGCGACACTGCGACCTCAGCATTTCCACATGTTAATATTTAGGTCGAAACATTCCTTTCTGTGGAACAAAAGAGATACTGGCAATTTTGTATGATTTCAATCTAAGACCTACACAGAGTATATGGAACATATATGGCCAAACAAGTGCTCTCCTCCTGGTTAACCGTGTGAACACAGTTCTCTGCACTTCATGGGCTATTTACCGGGAGTCGACTAACACATTTCCTCAATTCTAACTCACTCCTCCACTTCTACTCCCGTTGGCACCGTTCAAACTCCTCTCCCTTCGAAGAAAAGACTGAAGGAAGAGTAGTAAACAGTACATAACCATATCAAACTCCAACCTCCAAACCGAGATTACATTCTCCTCCCACTCTGGGAAAACCATCTTAAACGGCCTCATTAAACACAGAAGCTTGTTTTGTTTTTAAAGAAGCATTAACCGTGCCCCAATAAAGTCTTGGGCCTCAGATTTGCACTGCGTCAGGAAGTACACTTGGGGGTTTAACCTGTCATTACATCATACTTACAGGGCAGCTTTTAAACGCAGCAGGAGCTGGTAGTGGGAATGAACCCTGGGCAGTAAGTTATAGATTATCCACTTTCCACATCAAATTTTAATTCTAATAATTTCCCAACCCTATTAATAGTATGTTCAAACACTTCTGCCTCATTTTAATATTAGGCTACACAAAACACCTTTAGGGATAGAAATATCACTGAAATTAGATAAAGTCTGTTCACTGACAAATATAAATTATTACTACCTACATTTTTATTTTCTAATACATATTCATTCTACAGAGGTTTCAGGTTTCTAGGGCAGGAGACTTTAAATGTTTTAGGTAGGGAAACTCTTGCCAAACAGTTAAAACTGAACCCAAATGTGTAAAACAAGTCAAAGGGAAAAGAATGATTCCAGGGGAAAAAAAATCATTTTTCCCAAACTTCCAAAGGATCTGTTAGAGAGCCTTAGAGCACCATCTGAAAACCATTAACCTACAGACAAACCTCTCAACAAGTGAGTCAGGACAATAAAAGTGGAAGCATTCTGGAGGCACCTACACACAGCTGGATTCAAACCCAGTCTTCACCACCTGTTCAGCCATAAAACTGGGACAGTATTTCCAGCCTCACATAGCTTTTGTCTGGATTAAGGGAGTTGGGTAATTTATGTATGGTGGTACATACGCCAAAATATGTATTCACCTAACACCTCCAGAACTTTCTTGCCTTGCTTGAGGTCATCTATTAGTTAAAAGACCTAGAATGTGTAGGTTCCAAAAGATACTGAGTTTGTAAAGGTTATCAAACATGTCTGCCAAAGGTCAACTGCCACTTAACTAATGTTTAGCATAATAAAGCTTAGTGAATGTCTCAACTAGGCAGAACATTTACAATGGTTTTACAAAGAGCTTAAAATTTCACAAAAATTACCTTACATTTTGGATTTTTGTTAACTTCGTATTTTATGGGCTTGTCTTAGTGTAAATGACAAGCCCATAAAATACGAAGTTAACAAAAATCCAAAATTTACGAAGAGTGCCCAATTACCTAAGCTTTCTAAAGCCTGTATCTCAAGCCCAGTTTGGTATTTAGTTTACTAAGTAAACTTTAATCTGTATTAAAACATTTTATAATCAGCCTTTAATGCTCTCAGTAATTTCAGAGCATTTAATCATTATTTTGTCACATTAGCATACTTAAGTAAAAGTGGATGGACTTAACCTTTTATTCTTGATTTCACGTGGGAACCTTGGTTTCTTTTTATAAAGAGCGGATGAACAATTTCTCTGATTAGTCATACCTCATGCCTCGTAATATACAACAACTATTTTTTGAAGTTTACTATGGCAGGCAAAAAATGCCCCCCCTCAAAGATGTCTGCATCCTTAAGGCCTGCCACTGAACCTATGACAGTGTTGTTACAGTGGCAACAGGAAGCTAATACAGTTACTTACAAAATAAAGGTTTAAAATGGAGGAATGTAGTCACACATGCAAAAAGGATCACAGTGTATTGCAAAGCAAGCTACAAACAACATACACGGGGTACACGCTCGCACATGATACAGATGTGAAATTTTTTTTAGCAATTTTTTTTCTTCAAAGGGGACAATAAATAAACTGCTTTATCAAGATTAGTCTGAGTTGTGAAAACTATCAAAATAAGAAGTGAAATTTGCATTTTTAATTTAGTAAAAAAAAATGCAAATATCACCAGCCCTCTTTTACTTTTCCAAAAATTATTCCTAAAAATGACAAAATATTCACTGTAAAATAAAGTACAGGTTCAGATTATGAATTTGTTCTATTAGGAATCAAGGGGTTAAATAAAACTCCATTCAAAACATTTAAGGGCTTTCATCCTTTAACTCTTTTTTGCAAAAGAGGTACTTTCTACATTTGACATTGTGGAGGGTATTATGCAGAAAATGTTATCATTTCTATTTTTAAGATTCATTTCTATTTTAAGATTTACTTCTCACACACTGAAGAAATCAAATTTAATGCAAGTCTTAAAAATTTAACAGCTTAAAATGCCAAAAGTTAAAAAAAATCAAACTTCATTATAAAATAATAATGCCAGGAAAAAAATTAAACAACCATTTTTAGTTTCCAAAACTGTAGCAAAGTAACATGAGGAATTTAAATTGTACATATTTTCCTAAAAATAATTCTGAAAACTCCGCTGCTATAGAAGAAGAGTTAGTTGGTTAGTTATTTAGTTACTTAGTTACTAGTAAGACTGGTGATCTGAAATGGGGAAAGCCCAGGACAATAATCTGGTAAAATATCTGCTATAAAAAAAGTGTGAACAAAGGTGACAGCCCAGTAAATGAAGAGGAAAGTGCAAACCCCAATTTAAATGTGTAAAGCAATATACATTTGCCTTTTTGCTGCAGAAATCACTCTACTTTGAGACTTCCACCCCAATAAAAAAAAACAGCATATACTGACTCGGAACCCACTAGGCACTATGGTAGATACTGCGGTGTCGTAGCAGATGAAATGCTAAGTGGGAGTGAGATGCCTGTGAGAGGTCTACGCAGAACAGCAGTAGATGTACAACAGTTCAGAGTGCAGATGAGGAGGCGTTAACACACAATACCATCTGAAATCAAAGGGAAGAGGAACATGCCTAAAATAAGAAAAATCCCAACATTTAAAGACTGAAGAGTTCACTGATGGGAGGCACTGGCCCTAGACTGCAAGTTCTCAAACTTTACAGTGCCTATTAATCATCTAGGCATCTTATTAAAATGCAGGCTCTGTTTTAGAATCAGAATTATTCTGAAGCTGGGCCTGAGATGCTGCATTTTTTTTTAAGATATTTTTTATTTATTTGACAGAAAGAGAGAGAGATCACAAGTAGTCAGAGAGGCAGGCAGAGAGGAGGAAGCAGTCTCCCCGCTGAGCGGAGAGCCCGATGCAGGGCTCGATCCCAGGACCCTGAGATCATGACCTGAGCCAAAGGCAGAGGCTTTAACCCACTGAGCCACCCAGGCGCCCCTGAGATTCTGCATTTTTAACCCTGGGTTAGGCCAACTGCCATGGTGAGGCTCACGTGAGTAGCAAAAACCTGAATAACCGAGAAGGAAAGCGAAGATGAGAGAAGCAGGAGAGGGTGGTGTCTCAGAAGTCAAGGGAAGGTACAGACTTAAGATCTATAAGCATTCACGTGTACAAATATTAGAGTAAATTATGCTTTATTATATACTTATAGGGAACCTGTACTCTTTCTGTAATCAGAAAAAAATTAAAAGGCAACAACAAGCAGACCTGCTCGAACATGCAAGAATTCATGGAATATATAGCATCCATGAACCCTTCTTACTTAATTAAAAATAAGCAATGGATCAAAGTAAGTAATTTAGAAATGGTGATCTTGTAAAAGGTGCAAATAAATATAAAAATAACAAAAAAAAGTCTATGGTAAGAAGCAGTAAAAATAATGGCACAGTCAACCATGTGGAATCTGCTGAGAGGTCAAGTATGATCATGCTTAACAGGTGTTCATGGGTTGGCATTATAGAAGTTACTGGTGACCTCTGCAAAAGCAACCTTGGGGATATGGTGTGCAAATCAGACCAAAGGAGACTGAACAGGATGCTGTGTTAACAAAAAGCGTGGAGAGGAGAGGCAAGTTAGAGAATGGCTGAAAGGCCCAGAGAAATTGTCCACGTAGTTCCTCTTTTTCTTTTTTAAATGGGAGAGACCAGAATATAGAGAATACTGACAGAGTCCAGAAAAGAGGGTAGTAATCCCAAGAAATGGAGCAATGTGATAAAATAAAATTCTTGGTGATGGGGGATTCAAAACTCAAGACTCAAACTCAAGAGTGACTAGACTTTTTCAGAAGAGGTACTTTCTCCATAGTAAGCACAGAGAAGACAGAAGAGGTCTAGCTCAGGAAGTTGGAGGTTAAGAAAGTTTCAGTCTGAGAGTTTCCATTTTCTCAGCAAAGTCTCTGCACCATCATCCTCTTTTGGTGGGGGGTTGGGGGGTGGATAAAGAAGATGGTATCAGCACCAAGCCACGGCAGAGTGTTTTTTATGAATTATTTGGGTCTTGTTGGTAGGACATTGAGGATACAAACATGTGTAAGTATGTGTTAAGTCATCACCTTAGGTCCCAAGAAATCTCAACTGCCTTTCTTGAACCAAAGGAGAAATAATTTGCCATTAACATTAATATGTTCTCCAAACTTCTGGATCAGAACTCTAAAACTAGCTAGAATGGCCAAACTTAACAGACAGTACCAAGCACTGATAAGCACAGAGGACTACAACTCTCATACTTTGCTGGTGGGAATGCAAAACAGTGTAACAATGTCTTCCTCACTGCAGAAAGCTTTGTTGGACAGCATGGTTCTATATCCCATATATCTATTATATATATAATATAATATATATAATATAATATTATCTATTATATATATAATATTATCTATTATATATATAATAGATAATATTATATATATAATATAATATATATAATAGATATATCTATATCTATTACATGGTATTTTTATTTCACATCTAATCTACAATTTCTTAACATCAAGAATAAAAGTACTAACATCTCCCAAAACAAGGCAAGCCCATTTTTAACATGCTAATAGTAAAATTTTCCCTTTCTCACCTGCCAAGATAAAGATTATATTAAATGTCAAAACTGTGTCAAAACAATCATTGAAACCTAACTGCAACCATTCTGATTTCATTTCTCACAATTATGTCACAAAAAAATACCCATGCTTAGGGATTAGGAGCACACATGTTATGATGAGCCCTGGGTGATGTATGGAACTGCTGAATCACTATATTGTACACCTGAAACACAACACTGTATGTTAACTATACTGGAATTACAATAAAAACTTAAAAAAAAAATAAGACGAATACCCTTTTTTCCCCTTGAATCCTTAATTATGGTTCATATTCTTGGCACAGCCACCATACCTCAAGAAAGTTTTCAGAAAGGACATATAAGTCTCAATCTTGGCAGTCCGAAGCTCTTACAGAAACTGCACAAGTTTGCAATTCCAGTCACACCCCTTTCCCCTTAGAA